CACACACACACACACACACTCACTGTCACACACACACACACACACACTCTCTATCTGACAGCTGCTCTATTAACTCACTCTGATCTGCCTACTGTATATCTGTATATCACATGAACAGACATGGAGAAGCAGTTTTAAAAATGTGACAACTAGCCCCGGTCTGTCCTATAGAGACTGCATTTGTATGTCAGGGTCAAAACTTTTGATTTAATATATTAAAACATTTAGTTTTAGTTTATTTAAACTACTGTATACTGTACAAATGTCTCAAATAACACATTCAGACTGAGTTCTGAATGCATCTCAATGGCAGAGCCACCGACGCCCCCTGGAGGAAGAGCAACTAAAACAAAAAAGGTAACACTTTATTTTAAGGTGTCCTTGTTACAGTGTAATTATACATTTCAGTACTGAGTAATATTAATTAACTACATATACTATATGGTTAGGGTTAGGATTAGGGTTTGTCTTAGGTTTACTTGCATGTAATTATGCATCATTTATTGTTATTATAATAGTAAGTACATGTAATGTGTGTAACAAAGACACCGTAAAATAAAGTGTTACCAAAAAAATAAAAATAATTTTTGTTACTTAAAGCACATTTTAACTGAAATAAATGATGCATTTTATATCAACTAGTTGCCAAACAAAATTTCTCATTTTCATTTAGTTTAACTTAATGTTTTAAAATAACTAAAAATAAAACTAGAACTAAAATAAAAAGGTATGAAAACTATATAGACATACTTAAAAAAAAAAAAGAGAGAAAAACTATTAAAAATGACAAAAACACTTTAACTAAAGTTGCAATGAAAGCAAAACAAAAAAAAAACTAATTTAAAATCTTAATAAAATTTAAAGGTATAGTTCACCCAAAAATAAAAAATCCGAGAGCTCTCTGACCCTCCATAGACAGCAATGCAACTGAAATGTTCCCAGGTCCAGAAACGTAGCAAGGACATCAGTAAACCAGTCCATGTGACATCAGTGGTTCAGTCGTAATTTTACGAAGCTACGAGAATACTTTTTGTGCACAAAGAAAACAATAATAACATAATTTTGATCAACAATTCATGTCCTAGAGTTACCGTCTTCCAACATATTGGAGAGTACCCCAGAACGTAATCAGCACAGTTTATGTTCAGCATGCGTGTGCTTTATCCTGAACGTAAACAACGCTGATTGAGCTGATCAGATCATTGTAATTACTGACAATCAGAAAGTTGTTTTGTGTTCACATGGTGGCGCTGTTTCATTTCTAATGAGTTTATTATTTGAGTGGGTGATAGACGCATATGTGTGAAAACAGTGCAGCTGCTTCTGTTTCGCTGTGGTTTTACTGTAGTATTGATGGCAGGAGTGCAACTGGAGAGTTTTGAGAGTAATTTAGTGCAGAGCCCGAGACAGATGCAATCAATCTGACTTTGCATTTGGAACAGAACCAGGCGTTTAGTCAGCGTTTGGAGTCTCGGCGGGTCCGGCTGCAGTTGCATTATCATAACGAGACGTGATTAATCACTGCAGCCTTTATTCGCATTATCAATGTTTTTAATGCCACCGTCTGAGAATTTGTAGAATGTACAGTATGTGAGATAAGATACAACTGAACTTGTTCAGACAGGTATAGCAGGAGAGTGCTGCTGTATATGATGTGTGTGGTGTGTGGTTCATACAGTCTACATATAGATACACACTGATATTGTGTTAAAATATAAAACACAAATTCAGTTCAGTTTCTGAACAGGATTCACACATGCAGATCAGTAATTGTAAATTTTTTTTAATTAATTTTAATATGCAATAACTTTTAGAAGCAGAACTATATATCTATATAGAATATATATGTGTGAACTATATATAAGAACTAGCATTAAAGCATTAAAGCAGAGACTTGATTCAAGAATTCCTCTTCCCAAAGTTAAAGTCTAATCATTTGTCCTGCAGAAAACTCTCTGTTGCGTCCGGAAGATATCTGGATGCTGGATGCGGATGAATCCGTTACCCAGGAGGCTTTGCGGCGTCCCAGCAGACCGGATCACCTGGACTTCCTGAGAATCACGCCGCCGGAGGACGACATCATCGGAGACACTCCGTATAATCCCAATCTCGGAATAACGGTGAGTCAGTCAGCGCTGTGATGAAATTAATGTATCGTAGACTTCTGCGTTTATTCTTGATGTTTATTCAGTAAGCAGCCCGCTTAAAAACAATATTCAGACTTTTTTTCTCTGAATTATGATTTTATATCTCACAATTCTGACTTTTCTGAATTTATCTCATAAATCTGACTTTTTTTCTCAATTTATTTCACAATTCTGATTTTTTTTCTGAATTTATTTCACAATTCAGATTTTTTTTTTCTGAATTTATTTCACAATTCAGATTTTTTTCTGAATTTATCTCACAATTCTGACTTTTTTTCTGAATTTATTTCACAATTCTGATTTTTTTTATTTTCTCACAATTCTGACTTTTTTTCTGAATTTATCTCACAATTCTGACTTTTTTTCTGAATTTATTTCACAATTCTGATTTTTTTTATTTTCTCACAATTCTGACTTTTTTTCTGAATTTATCTCACAATTCTGACTTTTTTTCTGAATTTATTTCACAATTCTGATTTTTTTTATTTTCTCACAATTCTGACTTTTTTTCTGAATTTATCTCACAATTCTGACTTTTTTTCTGAATTTATTTCACAATTCTGATTTTTTTTATTTTCTCACAATTCTGACTTTTTTTCTGAATTTATTTCACAATTCAGATTTTTTTTCTTCTAAATTTATTTCACAATTCTGATTTTTTTCCTGAATTTATCTCACAATTCTGACTTTTTTTATTTTCTGACAATTCTGACTTTTTCTGAATTTATCCCACAATTCTGACTTTTTTATTTTCTCACAATTCTGACTTTTTCTGAATTTATCCCACAATTCTGATTTTATATCAAACAATTCTGACTTTTTCCTGATTTTATCTCACAATTCTGATTTTATATCTCACAATTCTGACTTTTTCCCGATTTTATCTCATAGTTCAGATTTTTTTTATCTCACAATTCTGTCTTTTTTCTGAATTTATCTCACAATTCTGACTTTTTCTGATTTTATATCTCACAATTCTGTCTTTTTTCTGAATTTATCTCACAATTCTGACTTTTTCTGATTTTATATCTCACAATTCTGTCTTTTTTCTGAATTTATCTCACAATTCTGACTTTTTCTGATTTTATATCTCACAATTCTGTCTTTTTTCTGAATTTATCTCACAATTCTGACTTTTTCTGATTTTATATCTCACAATTCTGTCTTTTTTCTGAATTTATCTCACAATTCTGACTTTTTCTGATTTTATATCTCACAATTCTGTCTTTTTTCTGAATTTATCTCACAATTCTGACTTTTTCTGATTTTATATCTCACAATTCTGTCTTTTTTCTGAATTTATCTCACAATTCTGACTTTTTCTGATTTTATATCTCACAATTCTGTCTTTTTTCTGAATTTATCTCACAATTCTGACTTTTTCTGATTTTATATCTCACAATTCTGTCTTTTTTCTGAATTTATCTCACAATTCTGACTTTTTCTGATTTTATATCTCACAATTCTGTCTTTTTTCTGAATTTATCTCACAATTCTGACTTTTTCTGATTTTATATCTCACAATTCTGTCTTTTTTCTGAATTTATCTCACAATTCTGACTTTTTCTGATTTTATATCTCACAATTCTGTCTTTTTTCTGAATTTATCTCACAATTCTGACTTTTTCTGATTTTATATCTCACAATTCTGTCTTTTTTCTGAATTTATCTCACAATTCTGACTTTTTCTGATTTTATATCTCACAATTCTGTCTTTTTTCTGAATTTATCTCACAATTCTGACTTTTTCTGATTTTATATCTCACAATTCTGTCTTTTTTCTGAATTTATCTCACAATTCTGACTTTTTCTGATTTTATATCTCACAATTCTGTCTTTTTTCTGAATTTATCTCACAATTCTGACTTTTTCTGATTTTATATCTCACAATTCTGTCTTTTTTCTGAATTTATCTCACAATTCTGACTTTTTCTGATTTTATATCTCACAATTCTGTCTTTTTTCTGAATTTATCTCACAATTCTGACTTTTTCTGATTTTATATCTCACAATTCTGTCTTTTTTCTGAATTTATCTCACAATTCTGACTTTTTCTGATTTTATATCTCACAATTCTGTCTTTTTTCTGAATTTATCTCACAATTCTGACTTTTTCTGATTTTATATCTCACAATTCTGTCTTTTTTCTGAATTTATCTCACAATTCTGACTTTTTCTGATTTTATATCTCACAATTCTGTCTTTTTTCTGAATTTATCTCACAATTCTGACTTTTTCTGATTTTATATCTCACAATTCTGTCTTTTTTCTGAATTTATCTCACAATTCTGACTTTTTCTGATTTTATATCTCACAATTCTGTCTTTTTTCTGAATTTATCTCACAATTCTGACTTTTTCTGATTTTATATCTCACAATTCTGTCTTTTTTCTGAATTTATCTCACAATTCTGACTTTTTCTGATTTTATATCTCACAATTCTGTCTTTTTTCTGAATTTATCTCACAATTCTGACTTTTTCTGATTTTATATCTCACAATTCTGTCTTTTTTCTGAATTTATCTCACAATTCTGACTTTTTCTGATTTTATATCTCACAATTCTGTCTTTTTTCTGAATTTATCTCACAATTCTGACTTTTTCTGATTTTATATCTCACAATTCTGTCTTTTTTCTGAATTTATCTCACAATTCTGACTTTTTCTGATTTTATCTCACAATTCTGATATTATATCTGACATTTCTGACTATATCTTGCAATTCTGACTTTATATATCGTAGTTCAGACTTTTTTCTCTGAGTTTATCTCACAATTCTGTTTTTTGTTTCTGCCACGTAATAAAAAATTAAAAACTTTTACATTTTGTATCTCACAATTATGACCTTTGTTCTCGCAGTTGTGACTGTATAATTCTGAATCTCAGAATTGTATGTAAAAATAGTCTGAACTGTGAGATAAAAAGTTACCAATTACAATTACCTTTATTTTTATCCCATGGCAGAAACGGGCTTTAATACATAAGTGACTTATAATTGAGAACCTTTAAGAATTATTGTTCCTCTGGACTTGTGGACTAAAGCACACACGCACATGCACTCACACTCACACTCACACACACACACAGGCTTTGTGTAAGAAGTCTTTCTGGTCCAGAGGGCACGTCAGCAAATCCAGATTTCTCAACTCAGTGAGACGCTGGAGGCTCATTTGTTTTTTAGAGGTCAGGTCTGACTGATTCAGCAGCAGAACATGTTAATAACTGTAATAACTGCACTGAGAAACTGTGTTTCCTAAATATGTTTTAATCGTCCCCATATAGACTAAAATATACACCAAGGACGTTCCCATTACGTTATAAAACTGTATTTTCTGAATGTTCTCTGAATGTTCAAAACGTCCAGTTCTTTAATTGTTTTAGAAACATTGTTTCTTGGTTGTGTGAACGTTAAGGGAACATTCCGTTTTGTAATTTTGCAAAAATTTTTACTTTTTAACGTTACGTTTGAATGTTCTCAGAACATTTTTGAACATCCAACCGAAATGTTTCAGGAAAACATTCCATGAATGATGTATTAATGATGTTTTTATGCTAACGTTGTGAGAACATTATTAAGACCAGAGAGCTTTTAATGAACATACTAATACAGTTTTTAAGAAATGCTTACACACAGTTTTTGAAACTTTACTTTACTTTACTTTACTTTTAGTCATTTAGCAGACGCTTTTATCCAAAGCGACTTACAAATAAGAAAAAGTAATTAAAACTAAAAGCTAAAACTCTATAAATACTATATATATATATACACACATTTAAGAAAATAAAATAAATTAAATAAAAATGACAAATGCATACAACAACATTTCAAAACTAAAACATTTAAATAAAAACAAAAAAATAAAGCTAAAAACAATTAGCTAAAAACAATTCAAAATATTAAAAGAACAAACGGTATGAGTATAATAATGATTCTAACATAACACTAAGCCAAACACCAAAAAAACAACTACGTTACATATGTGTATGTACAGCCACACACATATACATGTACATATATATAAATACATTCAATATATATTATTATTTCATTACCATTTTGTATGTTGAAGTACTGAAATAACTCAAATTAAATAATAAATAACTAAAATAACTAAAACGTAATAAAAAACCTATATAGACATAATAAAAAAACTAATAAAATTACAACATTACTACAACTGTAACTAAAACTAAAATAGATAACTAATACAAATCAAACTACATTAGTTTATCAGTAATCCTAAAAAAATAACACTGAGCCAAACACACATGCTAAAATAACAACAACTTACTGACACATAGTAAGAAATAGTTGAAACAGAAGTGGAAAGAGGAGAGATAAAAAGCGATACTTATATCCTTTGCCGGTGTCCCTGCCCGGTGGAGTCGCACGGTAGAGTCGATGGTCTTTACACTCTTCGGTCTTCACGCGACCGCAGCCGCGACCGCTTCCGCGGTAAACTAAGCTTCTTTTTAATTAGTTTAACAAAACTCAAATTGAATTCAGCTGGACACACTTTCCTGTTTATCACAACAAATGGCCAAGCAAAGCGCACGACACTGACAAGGTACGCGATACAGTACGAGACCAAACGCCATTATATTTTCCTGTGGTAAGTTATGTTTTAATGACAGCGAGGAGTGCTATAGGTACACAATAATTTATCTTTAAAGTAAACTGCACATCTCATGTTATGAGAAAATATTTTTGGCGAGAACAATGATCAATAAAGTGCACTTACTTCGATATTGTGGCAGACACTGCTGGATTCGGTGGAACGGTCTATTGTCCGGTTTGAATAGGACCAATGATAATAGCTTACTG